GAGCGACTCAGGCGTAACTGCAGATCCTGCTGATTCCATTTTGGTGTGTGATTCTGTCAAGGGGTGCTGAAGGTGGGTGTGGTGCATGAATCAAGCGCAGGACGCAGAAGCTCAGTCCAAAAGACTTTAGTGCAATATTCACGTAGAAAATAAGCACAATAAGCCCGAAGGCGAAATAACGGCGCACACAGGCGTCAAACAACCGGCGCACTAACATGTGCGAAAAACCTCTCCAAAACACTGGAGGGAAGTACGTAGCTCCAACACAAAACAGAAGAGCAATCACACACAAAGACAAACACACACAATGAGAACTAAATAGGACACTAACGAGGACTAACAAGACACAGGTGTACAACATCAAGACAAAACCAAACGAACATGAAACATAGATCGGTGGCAGCTAGTACTCCGGGGACGACGACCGCCGAAGCCTGCCCGAACCAGGAGGAGGAGCAGCCTCGGCCGAAACCGTGACACAGGCTATCAGTGACTGAAATAACAAGCGAAAAACTGCTGCTGCACAACCAAATTTCGAAATTGCACCTTGTGTATTCTACTATTCTAACCCGACTGAGTTCCCCCAAAATGTAAAATACACAAATATATATGGGGGGGTTGTCTAAACTGGATCGTAATAGAAGGCAGGGGATGGGGGTGGGGCAGGGATGTTGACGTGAATCAATTTCGAGTCTCATTGCAAAGGGTCTGAATACTTAAGTAAATAAGATATTGAAAAAAAATTAAATGAATAAATTAGCAAACATTTCCAAAAACCTGTTTTTAATTTTGTCATTATGGGTTATTGTGTGTAGATTGATAAGGATTTTTTTTTTATTCATCCATTTTAGAATAAGGCTGTAACGTAACAAAATGTGGAAAAGGTAAAGGGGTCTGAATACTTTCCGAATGCACTGTACACTATGATCAGAGCCGGCTGCAGAGAATGATCAGTTAGGTGGAAATCAGATTTTCAATTTTTTTATCAGGGCTGCGAATAGCCAGGGACCTCACAATACAATATTATCATGATACTTAGGTGCCGATATGATACTGTATGTATTGCTATTCTCATGATTCTATATGTATTGCGATTCAATACTGTGATTTTATTGCGATTCGGTGTTCCAAACATATTGCTCACCATATGTTTGCTGCAGAGGGACAAGACAGAGCCATGAGAAAATGAGTTTTGATCAGTCATGGAAATAAAAGTGCTGAAAGCAAGCTATGAAGGACTTTTGGTGCAGGTACAGCCAACTAGCGCCAAAATAATATTGCAATATTGTCAATACGATACGATATACAGTGGGGAAAAAAAGTATTTAGTCAGCCACCAATTGTGCAAGTTCTCCCACTTAAAAAGATGAGAGAGGCCTGTAATTTTCATCATAGGTACACGTCAACTATGACAGACAAAATGAGGAAAACAATTCCAGAAAATCACATTGTAGGATTTTTAATGAATTTATTTGCAAATTATGGCGGAAAATAAGTATTTGGTCAATAACAAAAGTTTCTCAATACTTTGTTATATACCCTTTGTTGGCAATGACACAGGTCAAACGTTTTCTGTAAGTCTTCACAAGGTTTTCACACACTGTTGCTGGTATTTTGGCCCATTCCTCCATGCAGATCTCCTCTAGAGCAGTGATGTTTTGGGGCTGTCGCTGGGCAACACGGACTTTCAACTCCCTCCAAAGATTTTCTATGGGGTTGAGATCTGGAGACTCCAGGATCTTGAAATGCTTCTTACGAAGCCACTCCTTCGTTGCCCGGGCGGTGTGTTTGGGATCATTGTCATGCTGAAAGACCCAGCCACGTTTCATCTTCAATGCCCTTGCTGATGGAAGGAGGTTTTCACTCAAAATCTCACGATACATGGCCCCATTCATTCTTTCCTTTACACGGATCAGTCGTCCTGGTCCCTTTGCAGAAAAACAGCCCCAAAGTTTGATGTTTTCACTCCCATGCTTCACAGTAGGTATGGTGTTCTTTGGATGCAACTCAGCATTCTTTGTCCTCCAAACACGACGAGTTGAGTTTTTACCAAAAAGTTATATTTTGGTTTCATCTGACCATATGACATTCTCCCAATCCTCTTCTGGATGCACTCTAGCAAACTTCAGACGGGCCTGGACATGTACTGGCTTAAGCAGGGGGACACGTCTAGCACTGCAGGATTTCAGTCCCTGGCGGCGTAGTGTGTTACTGATGGTAGGCTTTGTTACTTTGGTCCCAGCTCTCTGCAGGTCATTCACTAGGTCCCCCCGTGTGGTTCTGGGATTTTTGCTCACCGTTCTTGTGATCATTTTGACCCCACGGGGTGAGATCTTGCGTGGAGCCCCAGATCGAGGGAGATTATCAGTGGTCTTGTATGTCTTCCATTTCCTAATAATTGCTCCCACAGTTGATTTCTTCAAACCAAGCTGCTTACCTATTGCAGATTCAGTCTTCCCAGCCTGGTGCAGGTCTACCATTTTGTTTCTGGTGTCCTTTGACAGCTCTTTGGTCTTGGCCATAGTGGAGTTTGGAGTGTGACTGTTTGAGGTTGTGGACATGTGTCTTTTATACTGATAACAAGTTCAAACAGGTGCCATTAATACAGGTAACGAGTGGAGGACAGAGGAACCTCTTAAAGAAGAAGTTACAGGTCTGTGAGAGCCAGAAATCTTGCTTGTTTGTAGGTGACCAAATACTTATTTTCCACCATAATTTGCAAATAAATTCATTAAAGCTCCTACAATGTGATTTTCTGGATTTTCTTTTCTCAATTTGTCTGTCATAGTTGACGTGTACCTATGATGAAAATTACAGGCCTCTCTCATCTTTTTAAGTGGGAGAACTTGCACAATTGGTGGCTGACTAAATACTTTTTTTCCCCACTGTATAGTCAAAAACAATATCCCGATATGTAATTGTAGCGATTTTCCCCCCCCCCCCCATCACAAATGTTTTTATGCTATATTTATAATTATATAAAATATATTCAACAAATTCTCCACCAACAGGCATCTCTTCCAATGCACCACAACCAATAAGCAAAGCATACCAACTTCGGGTGCTTCAACATCATGGTTTGCGTTTTCAACACCACAATCTGCAGTTTGAATGCTTAAATTATATTTTGGATGAACGTGCGCAGGTAGCCTACAGGATACTTTTTAAGTAGCCTAATCAGATTAAAACATTGTGAAAAGTTTAAATTAAAAGTTAAATGACAAATATTTAGAGTATATTGAAGCGTTATGGGTTCTACAGTATGTGCACCAGGAATAGCCGCTCGAATTGGAGAGGAGGAAGAGCGCGTTAAAGGAAAAATCCACCCAAAACCACTCATTCCTATAATTTACAGTGTTATATAACACTAATATGTGAACAAATGTTTTATTTCGTCGTTATAATAAGGTTGGTAGCAACAGGTGAAAATCGTTGTGTAAATCTGTTGCAGCTCAAGTCGACTTCAAAACCCACAATGCAATGCTTTCTCTATGGGCTAGCTAGCTTGCTAGGTAGCGCTAGCAAACGTATCTACACACAATAATACCAATGTCAAAATCAGCATGTGAAGTAGCTAATTAGCTGTAAAATCGCCTGAACAAACTGCACTTTCAATTTAGGAGTCTACAATCTCACCATGTTCAACCTGCAGATCGATGTACCTCACAGAGTGGAGTCTGACATTCGCAATGGCACAATGCAATGCACCATCGACTGAAGAGGCAGTCAAATAGGAGAAATGTGTTAAACCCTCTGTTAAATTGCTAATTTCTCGAGGTAGGAATATCGTGAAAATATGATCAATGGCTCATTCGAGAAAAGACAACCTACCTCGTTATGACATTGGCCAGTATTGAAATCTGACATGTATGATAGACGTTTTTGTGATCTAAAAGTCGTATTCCTATTAACTTCCAGTGTAGTAAGAGCGACTTTATCTCAATGCTACGTCATACCAGCCGAATGTCTGCCTGCTTGAACGGCAATATCTCAGATACACATGAAAACATGAATTGACCCAGGGAATCAATAGAACATTGATCAGAGATGCACCAAAAACAGTATAACATTCAAAATGGGTGAATATTTACTTTAAGCTTTCCTGAATAACTGGGCCTGCTGGGAGCATATGTGGCCACATTATTATAGGACGACTTGGGAGAATGATGATGCAACAGACAGCGCATTCAGTATCAGAACTGAAAATACAGCCAGACTGACCTGCTACTGTGCCTTTATAGGCCTTATAAACTGTAGAGAGTAGACCCACAACTGATCCAAATTCAAATCACAGAGCTTTTGCTCCGTTATTCAAATAACATATTCACTTCAGTTTACAGCCTAGAGTAGAATTCTGTACTCATTTGAAAACAATAATGCAATTATTCCTTGCAATGTGGTGTTCAAGGCTAGTCTAGGTAGGATAATTGTATTGTCCCTGAACAAGATCAATAGGGGAGCTTTTTGAGCTGCCTCTCCGCTTATATTGAACATTGGTGCAGCTTTATAGGATTGCTAGTTAGCCTATTACAGATCTGGACAAACAATCCACCTACCACTATTGTCACTATGAATGGTGGATAGAGGGCAGGATAGACAGTTAGACTGGTAGACTATATTGGACCTGTGGTATAGTTAGCGCTCGGAAAAGTGTAATGCATAAGGGAAGTACCAAAACACCTTGATGTAGGGGAGGCGCATGCAAGCAGATTAGGAAATGTGCCTAGAATGGAAGAAATGATATAGTAAAACCTGCAAAAGGGCGAATGTAAACCCAGGAATAAAAGCGCTACCCTCCCCTGTTATTTCACCATTCCTGCTCTTAACTTCTTTATTAGTGCAGATGACGGAAAGGAGAAGAGGAAGCCACTTTAGGCTATTGAGATGCAACTCTTGTTTCTCTCCCTGTCTGACTCTGACCATTGAGATGCAGCCCATTGTGACAGTGATTTTGTTACTGATTGTGATAATGACGTCTCTCCACTCCCCCTACTGGCAGGTTGCTGTGTAGCAGCAGTCTGAGGAAGCTGAGTGCAGGATACAACCACCTGCAGAAGCTGCCTGAGAGAGTAGAGCGCCCACTACTGGAGGTGTTGGACGTACAACACAACCAGCTAGCAGAGCTGCCCTGCAACCTCTTCCTCAAATCTGACAGGTAGCACATCATTATAGACATACACTGAGTGTACAAAACATTAGGAACACCTTCCTAATATTGAGTTGCACCCCCCTTTGCCCTCAGAACAGCCTCAATTCGTCATTCCACAGGGATGCTGGCCCATGTTGACACCAATGCTTCCCACAGTTGTGTCAAGTTGGCTGGATGTCCTTTGGGTGGTGGACCATTCTTGATACACACAGGAAACTTTTGAGTGTGAAAAACCCAGCAGCGTTGCAGTTCTTGACACATTCAAACCGGTGCGCCTGGCACCTACTACCATACCCTGTTCAAAGGCACTTAAATATTTTGTCTTGCCCATTCACCCTCTGAATGGCACACATACACAATCCATGTCTCAATTGTATCGAGACTTTAAAATCCTTCTTTAACCTGTCTCCTCCCGTTCATCTACACTGATTGAAGTGGATTTAACAGGTGACATCAATAAGGGATCATAGCTTTCAACTGGATTTAAATGGTCAGTCTATGTCATGGAAAGAGCAGTTGTTCCTAATGTTTTGTACACTATAATATAGGATGTTAAAACATACAATGAATGTGATTACATGGGACTGAATTAAACTCATTCAGTGTGTTAAAAAAATAAATGAATTATATGGCGGTATTGTTGAGATAAAATAGGATCAATACAAGAGCCTGATGACAAGAGGTGACCTTAAATTATTACTCAGTTATTTACTAAACATGTTAATACAAGCTATGACAAGTTATTTCACCGGTAGAATATGTGTAATGGTTGAAAGACTGACATTAGGGCTCACTTCCTGTTTCAGTTTGCGGTGCCTAAATGCCTCGGCCAATAAGCTGGAGCACCTGCCTCCCTCCAGTCTATCAGAGGAGAGCAACAGCATCCTCCAAGAACTGTACCTCACCAACAACCGGCTGACTGATAAGTGTGTTTCCTTACTGACGGGACACACACACCTCCGAGTACTACACATGGCTTACAACTACCTGCACACCTTCCCTGCCAGGTAAGGGGATAGATGTAGGCTCCCGAGTGGCGCAGTGGTCTAAGGCACTGCATCTCAGTGCTTGAGGCGTCACTACAGACCCCCTGGTTCGAGTCCAGGCTGTATCACAACCAGCCGTGATTGGGAGTCCCATAGAGCGGCGCACAATTGGCCCAGCGTCGTCCGGGTTTGGCCGGTGTAGGCCATCATTGTAAATAAGAATTTGTTCTTAACTGACTTGCCTAGTTACATAAAGGTATAAAACATAATTAAAATAAACATACTGTATACACACATTACAATTTTTACATTTTAGTCATTTAGCAGACGCTCTTATCCAGAACGACTTACAGTAGTGAGTGCATACATTTTCATACTGCCAGTCACACACACACACACATACATACATACATACATACATACATACACACACACACACACACACACACACACACACACACACACACACACACACACACACACACACACACAAAATAACTGTTGTAACTCTCTTTTTTCTTTGTCTACCACACTTACAATATACTGTCTCTTCTATGTAAATACTCACTGACTCTCCTTTTTCCTCATCTGTAGTAAAATGGCCAAGTTGGAGGAGCTGGAGGAGGTAGACCTGAGTGGGAACAGGCTGAAGACGGTGCCCACCACCATCATGAACTGCAGACGCATGCACACACTCATCGCCCACTCCAACACCATAGAGGTCTTCCCTGAGGTCATGCAGCTTATGGAGATGAAGGTAGGACAGTCAGGCAGATATGACGGAAATGTGTGAGTGTGCGTGTGTGCGCGCGCACATGTGTGTGAATGCATGTATATTTATGTGTGTGTGCATGCGCGTGCATGCGTGTGTGAGGATGGTTGTATATTTATGTGTGTGTGTGTTAACCCTCTCCTCTCTCCACAGTGTGTAGATCTGAGCTGTAATAAGCTGAGTGAGATCAGCCTGCCTGAGATCCTGCCTCCTAAACTCCAGGAGCTGGATCTGACTGGCAACCCTCGCCTCAGCCTGGACCACAAAACCCTGGAACAACTCAAGTAAGTCTTCTATAAGTGTAGACAAATTGTGAGTAAAGATGAACGGAATTGAATTCTTTAGTTTGTCTGTGTACCTGTATTTGTATGTATACCTGTTCCTGCACTGTGATCTTTTTAATAAGTATCCTCTCTCCTCTTTGTTGCAGTAACATCCGCTGTTTCCGCATCGACCCGCCACCGACCTTCTCAGCCAATGAGGCGTCAGGTGGGCCGGCTGTGTGGAGTCATGGTTACACAGAGGCCTCAGGCGTCAAGAACAAGTGAGTAACATACACTAGGCTACATGATACATACACATCATGTGTGAACCATATGGACCACCATGGGGAGCTTTCATGTGTGAAAAACAAATGAAGTTACCATTGCGACTAATCAAATCAAATCAAATTGTATTTGCCACATGCGCCGAATACAACAGGTGTAGACATTACAGTGAAATGCTTACTTACAAGCCCTTAACCAACAATGCAAAGTAAAAAATTTATAAAAATTGTTAAGCAAAAAAAATAAAAGCAAATAACTAAAGAGCAGCAGTAAAATAAAATAACAGTAGGGAGGCTATATACAGGATGGTACCGGTGCAGAGTCAATGTGCGGGGGCACCGGCTAGTCGAGGTAATTGAGGTAATATGTACATGTGGGTAGAGTTAAAGTGACTATGCATAAATAATAAACAGAGTAGCAGCAGAGTAAAATAGGGGGACGGGGTGGGGGTGGGGGGCAGTGCAAATTGTCCGGGTAGCCATGATTAGCTGTTCAGGAGTCTTATGGCTTGGGGGTAGAAGCTGTTGAGAAGCCTTTTGGACCTAGACTTGGCGCTCCGGTACCGCTTGCTGTGCGGTAGCAGAGAGAACAGTCTATGACTAGGGTGGCTGGAGTCTTTGACAATTTTGAGGGCCTTCCTCTGACACCGCCTGGTATAGAGGTCCTGGATGGCAGGAAGCTTGGCCCCAGTGATGTACTGGGCAGTACGCACTACCCTCTGTAGTGCCTTGCGGTCGGAGGCAGAGCAGTTGCCATACCAGGCGGTGATGCAACCAGTCAGTATGCTCTCGATGGTGCAGCTGTAGAACTTTTTGAGGATCTGAGGACCCATGCCAAATGTTTTCAGTCTCCTGAGGGGGAATAGGCTTTGTCGTGCCCTCTTCACGACTGTCTTGGTGTGTTTGGACCATGATAGTTCGTTGGTGATGTGGACACCAAGGAACTTCAAGCTCTCAACTTGTTCCACTACAGCCCCGTCGATGAGAATGGGGGCGTGCTCAGTCCCTGTAGTCCACAATCATCTCCTTTGTTTTGATCACGTTGAGGGAGAGGTTAACTAAGATGAATACGTCAGTCGGTGAGGTCAATGTGGGGGCAGTAGAGTTAGTGTGTGAAAAATGAGAGGGTGGGGGTGTGGGTGCATGCACACATCCATCTGTTTGTGTGTGTGACAGATGTGAGAGAGAGATGCAATGCTGTGGAGCTACAGTAAGTCTTAAACTCTCAACATCCTCAAGGGAATATTATTAACATTTTGCGCGTGTTCCTCTCTCTCGCTCTCACAGGCTGTGTGTGGCCGCCCTGTCGGTGAACAGTTTCGGTGGGAGTCGTGGGGCCCTCTATGGGGTGTTTGATGGAGACAGGAACGTGGAAGTGCCCTACCTGCTGCAGTGTACCATGAACGATGTGCTGGCCGAGGAGCTACACAAGACCAAGAGTGAAGAAGACTACATGACCAACACCTTCCTCGTCATGCAGAGGTTAGTATGGAAACACATACACGCAACTTATTATTTAGACAGAATCAGATATTCAAACTTCTCCTGTTCTCTCTCTGTGCCTCAGGAAGCTGGGTACGGCAGGGCAGAAGCTGGGTGGCTCGGCGGCCCTGTGCCACATCAGACACGACCCCACCGACCCGGGCGGCTGCTTCACCCTCACCGCTGCCAACGTAGGCAAGTGCCAGGCCATCCTGTGTCGGGATGGCAAGCCACTGCCCCTCTCCCTGCTGCACAACGTAGGCCTGGAGGAAGAGTACCGACGCATCAGACAACACAACGCCATCATCACTGAGGTACACAGGGAGGGGTGTGTTTGTGTGTGGCCTTCTATCCTCGTGGAGACCTGAAATCCCCAAAAGTCCCCACAAGGATAGTAAAACAAGGAAAGGTCTCCCACATGGGGACATTTTCCACATCCCCATGAGGACAAACGCTATTTTAAGCTTAGGTGTTAGGGTTAGGGGTTAGGGAAAATAGGATTTTGAATCTATCACCACGAGGATAGAAAAACAAGTGTGTGTGTGTGTGGTTGTGTGCGTGTGTGTATGTGTATGTGTATGGAGGGGGACGAGGGGTTAAAAGTGTATTATGCATGTGGGTGGGAGTGTGACAGTGAATAAGAGGATGTTAATTTAAATGAAGTACTGCTCCAAATGAAATGGTACTGATATAAAAATTCACTATATCACTCAGTTTAATTCAAGACTTGTGATGCACATCAATTCCATTTCATGTTAAATTCTATAACCCCGAAGGTTATGGGATTTTGAAGTCAAGTCAAAATCATCATTGATACCACACTTAATTACTCTTTTAATAGAATTTTGACCTGAGCTTTAATCTGAATGTGTGAGGATTGGGGTATGTGTTAGAATGACTAACTGCTCCCACTCTAAACATACTGTGTGTGTAAGTGTTTCTGGGAGGGGTTAGGATACAGCAGAATACAGGTTTCTGTTGGACTTTTAAGTAATCTTCTCCTACTCCTCTAGGACAACAAGGTGAATGGAGTGACAGACTCCACCCGCATCATGGGATATTCCTTCCTGTACCCGGCGGTGATCCCACGGCCCTACGTCTGCATGGTAACCCTCACCCCGCAGGACGAGTTCTTCATCCTGGGCAGCCGGGGCTTGTGGGATGCCGTTTCACCGTCGGAGGCGGTGGAGGCGGTGCGTAACGTCCCAGACGGCCTGGCTGCAGCCAAGAAGCTGTGTACACTGGCCCAGGGCTATGGCTGCACCGACAGTCTCTGTGCCGTGGTGGTCCAGCTCTCTGTGAGTGAGGACTGCTGCTCCTGCTGCTGTAGAGACCATCCCCAGCCGCCCCCCAGCCCCGGCTTGGGTGGCTACCCCTCCTCGGGGGGTTCGTCAATAAAGGAGCGTCCTACAGGGGATGGTTCCCTCCCCGTCCCCCCGTCCTCCTGCAGTGAGATCAGCAGTGAGATCAGTACTAGTGAGATGAGCAGCGAGGTGGGATCCACGGCCTCCTCTGATGAGCCTCCCCAGAGCTCCCTGGTGCTGCTGCACGAACAGCCCCACCACCACCAGCTCCACCTGCACCACCAGGCCCACCAGCTCTCCCTCCAGGCCCAGCACTCCGCCCAGCCCTGCCCCTACCCTCACCCAGGCTCGGAGCTCCCTGCCCGGGGCTGCTGTGCTCTCCATCCTGCCTGTCTGACCGGGTCCTTCCAGAGGCAGCTGTCCAGCGCCACCTTCTCCAGCGCACTGTCTGACAACGGGCTGGACAGTGAGGACGAGGAGCCCATTGCCGGGGTCTTCTCCAACGGGAGCAGAGTGGAGGTGGAGGCCGACATCCACTGCCTTAGGGCTGAGGCCTCTTCATCATCATCATCGTCAGTACGGGAACGCTTGCTGGCCCCTCCTCCACCTCCTCCACCCTGCACCCCAGAACCCCTGGAGGAAGGGGTGGAGCTGACTCTAGGGGAGGCGGAAATGAGGGAGGATAGAGAGGAGAGCTGGTCAGGGGGCTGCGGCAGACCGGGTGATGACTTGAAGACCCTGGGGAAGAGAAGGGGGAACGGCTCTGTGGCCCCTCAGGAGAAGAGCCACAACCTGATCGAGGTGGCAGCAGACGCCCCATCTAAGAAGGGAGGGGGGTACTTCACGGCCCCCGCCCAGCCCGACCCGGACGACCAGTTCATCATCCCTCCAGAGTTGGAGGAGGAGGTCAAGGAGATCATGAAGCAGCATCAGCAGAAACAACAGAACCCACCTAGCCCCGACCAGCCTGCAGACTACTACGACACACCCCTCTGAGCAGACACACTCCCTACAGCAGTCTACTACAACTCACCACTATGTTTCTGCAGACTACTACGACACACCCCGAAATCCCTACAGTGGAGAGTCCATACAGAGTCTTCGGACTAGCTGAGTAACCTATGTATCTGAAAAACAGCACCTTGTTGAGATGTCTACAGACTACAAGCACTCAACCCCTTTTCTGAGACCACATCACTGGAGTACCAAACACTGTAACCTGCTCCACCCCTTTCCCCAAAGTGGCCTATAGAATAGGACATGCAAATGAGTCCTTTAAGATAACCCAACCCTATTGGGTATCCTACTTATGGACACACCTTTTTATGGTCCAAAGTAGTTCCACTACTACTCACAGACAGACTGTACGAAACGTTGTTTTTACATTAGACAACAAACCAATGAGTACCTATGTAATCAACACTAGTCTCTCTGCAATAGGGTTAGCCTATCACAACACACAGTTATGGATAATATGATTCCGTATAGTTTTTTTACTTACCATATCTTTTAATGTAAAGAAAATTAAGTTGCTGAAAAAACTTTGTTAAATGAAACATGGAGAACACAATCTTTTTTATTATCAATGAAATACATTGAAATGGTACACACCAATAATACCACGCTTAACTGTTGAAGATGGGGCACTTAATGATACTGTATTTCTTCAGTAAATCATGGCTCTTGGCCTGTAAAAAAGGCATAGACATTTTTGTAGAAATTTGAAAGACTAACTCTTAGGAGTTGCATACTCTTTATGGTGACATAGTCACTTTTACTAATCTTCTCTGAGAGAAATTGTGATTTTTTTCCAATGATTGTAAATAAGAGAAATTTATACTGATGCTTTTAAAGGAACTGTGTACCAGTATGTCTGGATGGATTTAGTGGTGTGGAGGGGTTGTGGGTCAGACCTGGTTTCGCCATTTTGGAGATCTCACCTTCCTTTCTCCCGTAGACACACACACTCACTCATGTTCAATACACACACACACACCGATACGTACATACACAGTACACCCACCCTATTATTCCGTACAGGCACACACAATTCACGATGGTTCTTCTCATTCAGTTCTATTGTTACTTACATCTTGGTTAGTCAGCACTCCCTCTAGTGTGCTCACAACACACATACAATACATACACACAGTATTCCATCCCACCGCCCGCCTAACTGTTATCACCGGCATGACTGTGTCCAGTTCAGTAATGCAAACAAATGCTATATCCACATGGAAAGTAAACCACACAAACGTTCCTGTCTTTAGTATAATAAATCTTACATTTGTAAGCTTTGTTCTAGTGGTATTTTATATTTCTGGGTCATAATTAAAATTATTTATTTTGTGTGCATTTGACACACGTGTGTGACTGATATAGAATAATTTCTCTCAGTATCCCCCCCCCCCGTTTTCAATGTATGGCCCTCTTGTATTTTACAGATGCAAATGTAACTGCAAAGGTCATACAATTTTCATTCATATAAACCAAAAAAACTGCCAGAAGTGCAGCTGATAGCATTCAATTAGACTTTACTATACAATTTAAAATGTACAATTTTTACAACATTACTGTTATCAAGAAATGCAGGATAATAGTCTCTTTATTGTTCGCCGCTGTCATACTATAGCTATAGTTTGAGTAAGGGCTCTATTCAATCTGTATAGCCGAAGTTTGGTGCTATAGCACGCTTGAAATGTAATGGTAATTTCCAATTGAGCTGACATATATGGCGTTTACCGTGAATGCAGTCTCTGCTAACGCAGGAACATTGCCTTTAAATGTCAATCGGGCTACAACACGGAACTTCAGTGCTACGGATTGAATAGTGCCCTAATTCTAAAATCATACAGGTGTATGTGCACCTTATGACCAGAAGAGGTCGATATTGTAAAATGTTTATATTAGCATCTCATTTGTTTCTTATCAGACTAACCATAGAACCACTATTATTATAGTTATACCCCTAACACCTGCAACTAAAGAAAAATCGTATTAAACATATTTCAGATTTAATTGTCTCCATTTAAACGATTAAGACTCTGGTATGATGAAAATGACATGACAGCAACACTAATGTAGCATAATTATGCCCTGAACAATACTGTAGGTACACTTCATAGCATATTTATCTCTCTAAACTTTTATGATTTTTTAAAATTTGCACCCAAGAAAATACAAAACAATGGGATGTTTTGTTTTAAGGTAAACTAAAATAACCTCTGCGGGAGAGGTAGAAAATAAATTTAAAAAAAGGGAGGCTTGTAACACACTTCGCCCTTTCAAATGTTTAAACATAAAAATAAAATAAAAACATTTTACTCAAGAAAAGTAATCAGATTTTCAAGACAGATAAACAAATAATTGGAGCTTTACATTTACACAAAGAAAAATGAAAATTCAAGTAAAATGAACAGGCTAATCAAAATACATGGCTGATAGGCAGATCATTATTGGGATGAGGCATTAAGTGGAATTTCCAGTAGATATTTTGTAATTTTATATTTGAAGGAGTTGTAGCTTTTGCAGTAAACTTCTTCATCTACTTAATGCTGGCCATGAGTAGTTTTGGTGCTGGCAGGGAAAAAAACACATTACATCCCTGTGACGCTGACATTGGACATGGTGATGCCCCTGTCTCCTCCACCTCCGCTGTTCTTGTACTTCCTCTTCACACACACCACACTGACCGCAGTCACCACCAACATGCCACCCAGCACAGAGAAAGAGGCTATAAGTGCTGTGGTCATCGTGTCCTGGGTGGAGCCCAGATACTGACAATTCTCTCCATAGTACCACCAGTCATCACCAACTGCACACCTAGAGAGGGAGCGAGAGAGAGAGTCACCAATCTACCCACTGCACACCTATATAGAGGGGGAGAAAGAGGGAGTCAATACACAGGTTGTAATGATGTCGTTATAACCACACTCGTCTTTTACAACCAGTTTTGCCTGCTGGGCTGAGTGTATGTGGAAAGGGTAAGACTGAGCATTCTGAGGAAACAAGGAATAATTTGATCTGCACAGCTGCATCAAGATAATAAAAAGAGGAGAGAAACAAGCTGTGGTTATCAATGCAGAGAGAGAAGAACAGAGAGAGAAAGATAGAGATAAATATGATTCAGTATGGATGATTGCATTTCAGACCATTGTATTGTGTAAACCACAAGCCTCGATAATAAAGTGTCCTCACCTGCAAACAGCATTTTCTGCATCCACCACACAGACTCCCTCATTCCCACATGTGACCTTAGTGCAGGGGTCAGTAGGTGGCAATATGGCGGTGGTAATCGTGGTGACTGGTGGCATGGTGGAGGAGGGTACGGGCTGGGTCACCGTAAGATGTGACACATCTGAAGACAGTTACAGAGATAGGGGGGAGGGGGCATACAGTGGGGAGAACAAGTATTTGATACACTGCTGATTTTGCAGGTTTTGCTACTTACAAAGCATGTAGAGGTCTGTCATTTTTATCATAGGTACACTTCAACTGTGAGAGACGGAATCTAAAACAAAAATCCAGAAAATCACATTGTATGATTTTTAAGTAATTAAGTTGCATTTTATTGCATGACATAAGTATTTGATCACCTACCAACCAGTAAGAATTCCGGCTCTCACAGACCTGTTAGTTTTTCTTTAAGAAGCCCTCCTGTTCTCCACTCATTTCCTGTGTTAACTGCACCTGATTGAACTCGTTACCTGTATAAATGACACCTGTCCACACACTCAATCAAACAGACTCCAACCTCTCCACAATGGCCAAGACCAGAGAGCTGTGCAAGCACATCAGGGATAAAATTGTAGACCTGCACAAGGATGGGATGGGCTACAGGACAATAGGCAAGCAGCTTGGTGAGAAGGCAACAACTGTTGGCGCAATTATTCGAAAATGGAAGAAGTTCAAGATGACGGTCAATCACCCTCGGTCTGGGGCTCCATGCAAGATCTCACCTAGTGGGGCATCAATGATCATGAGGAAGGTGAGGGATCAGCCCAGAACTACACGGCAGGACCTGGTCAATGACCTGAAGAGAGCTGGGACCACAGTCTCAAAGAAAACCCTTAGTAACACACTACGCCGTCATGGATTAAAATCCTTCAGCGCACGCAAGGTCCCCCTGCTCAAGCCAGCGCATGTCCAGGCCCGTCTGAAGTTTGCCAATGACCATCAGGATGATCCAGAGGAGGAATGGGAGAAGGTCATGTGGTCTGATGAGACAAAAATAGAACTTTTTGGTCTAAACTCCACTCATCGTGTTTGGAGGAAGAAGAAGGATGAGTACAACCCCAAGAACACCATCCCAATCGTGAAGCATGGAGGTGGAAACATCATTCTTTGGGGATGCTTTTCTGCAAAGGGGACAGGACGACTGCACCGTATTGAGGGGAGGAGGGATGGGGCCATGTATCGTGAGATCTTGGCCAACAACCTCCTTCCCTCAGTAAGAGCATTGAAGATGGGTCATGGCTGGGTCTTCCAGCATGACAACGACCCGAAACACACAGCCAGGGCAACTAAGGAGTGTCTCCGTAAGAAGCATCTCAAGGTCCTGGAGTGCCCTAGCCAGTCTCCAGACCTGAACCCAATAGAAAATCTTTGGAGGGAGCTGAAAGTCTGTATTGCCCAGCGACAGCCCCAAAACCTGAAGGATCTGGAAAAGGTCTGTATGGAGGAGTGGGCCAAAATCCCTGCTGCAGTGTGTGCAAACCTGGTCAAGACCTACAGGAAACATATTATCTCTGTAATTGCAAACAAAGGTTTCTGTACCAAATATTAAGTTCTGCTTTTCTGAAGTATCAAATACTTATGTCATGCAATAAAATGCAAATTAATTACTTAAAAATCGTACAATGTGATTTTCTGGATTTTTGTTTTAGATTCCGTCTCTCACAGTTGAAGTGTACCTATGATAAAAAATTACAGACCTCTACATGCTTTGTAAGTAGGAAAATCTGCAAAATCAGCAGTGTATCAAATACTAATGAGAATGAGATGAGGAGGTACACATACAGTACTAACATAGAAATGAATGTTGGCCTACAGACACTGGGATGGGATTGGATTGGATAGCATGATTGATTATAGAAATGGCGAATGGGTGTGAATTAGTAATGAATCACGTGATGTGGACATCACGGTAGACTTTGTCCACGAAAAACGGTCCAACTCCGCCCCTTTCTCAATTTTCAAACAGAAATGGGGTGTTCCTTTGGTGGTTCATCGATGTGTCATTCTGGTCATGTGCACCGCGACCAGCGTAGCTAGTTCGTTAGCTAAGCTAGCCACTTGTAGCTAGCCAGTAACTCCTCCAGTATGTGTTGACTTTATTTCACAGGATTTGTTTTTGGACGGAAGCTGTAGAGATCTGGTAAGAAATGGCACTTCTGTAGCCAAATATCTTATTCATAACTTTTTTGAGGGTTTAAGCATGAAATGCCCTTGTATGATGTTGGTTGATCAATTATACAGTTTAAAGCCATTATTTTAGATTTTTTTAATGCCCAAAGTCTACCTTTAAATAGATGGAAAACCACAACCCATGATCGTATTTGAATGAGTGTGATGATAATCAACAAGGCAGTGTAAGGGCTAGCTGACCCACCGCATAGCGGTTGTTTTGGCGCTGTCGTAGGTGGAACTGCATTAGAGCTGTCAAATCCACAAGTGGCTCCTGGCATTATACCTAAAGCGGACATTGCCATTGGCTGCACGGAGTTGCATTAAGAGAAATCCCATGCAACCTTATTTACAAGTTCGCACTAGAATGTGAGATGTTATCTAATCCTTGATTATGCTGATAGAAATCCTTTTTTTTTTTTTTATGATGCTCAATTTGAGTGTCATTATTTCTATATAGCCTACACTATCTCATTCTGAACTTCTAATACGAGTGGGACAGGTGTGGCTTCATGACAATAACCACACGAGCAGCCGCTCACGATTTGACAGCTCTAACGCAGTTACACATCTGAACCCGCCGAAACACCAGCTATGCGGGTGTCGGCTATCGCGAGTTAACACTTGATCTGATTGAATCTAGGCCTTAATGAGATATGAATGGTGGGATCCACAGGAGGTTGGTGGCACCTTAATTGGGGAGGACAGGCTTGTGGTTATGGCTGTAGCGGAATGAGTGAAATTGTATCAAAACGTCAAAACACATGGTTTGATGCCATTCCATTCGCTCCATTCCAGCCATTATTATGAGCCGTCCTCCCCTCAGCAGCCCCCACTGGTGGGTATATTTGAACATGGTTATGCAAAACATAGAGACAATGTATCATGCTTTGAGAGAATGTAGAGAATGCTTTTAGCATGTTTTTGATAAAAGGGTATTTTCAGTAGCCTGGTCCCAGATCTGTTTGTGTGATTGTGTCAAACGCGACAATGACCAAACAGATCTGGAACCAGGCTAGCTTTAGTCATGACTGACCATAGGAGTTGGCAATACAGCACAAACAGATCTGGGACAGGGTAACTTTTCAGAACTTCTTACCCTCCATGGTAAGCAGGAAGATGGCATCTCCCCCCTTGATGAAGTCCCTGCTCTTGGCCCTGCCATGGGTGAGGTATGCGGTTGTCCCGGCACCCGGCCCACGAAAATATTTGGTCCCGTCCGCCTCTGACACTTCAACGCCCACCTTAAGAGGGTCATCCCAGAAGAACAGCTCTGAAGTCTCTGAAAGTACATGACTTCATCTATGAAATAAGAAGACTGCTACTTTAAGTCAATGCAAAACCAGGTGGAACATCTCAGTAAATAATGGTAATTCCATTAATTTGTCAATGGAATATAACTCCATATGTTAAAGGAAATCCCTGGGTCTCAAATCGTTCTGCACTTGTCTTGGTCCATATTAGGCATTTCAGAGGGTACTGACCTAGAATCAGTTTAGCCTTTCAGATAATAATGAATCCTAGATCAACACTCCCACTCTAAGATGCTTAATGAATACTGGCCCTGGACTGACCATTGAGTTTCTTAGTAGGATCGGTGGTGACACTGCGCTGGTTGTTCATACGCCTCATGATGTCTGGGTTCTGGTCAAACAGCATCATGGTCATCTGTTTCCACGGGCACGGCCACTTCCGCACCTCCGTGTCACCGGTCATGGTCACCAGGTGGGCGTAGGCAGAAAGCTCCCCCGGGTAGCCCTCCTTCCCACTGGGGTAGAGCCCCATCTGGAAGGTGTAGCCCTCTCTGGACTTGAACGGGGGGCTGTAGATGGGTTTGTTGTTAGGAGTGGTCTCCATGACGTGGCTGAAGTTCTTCACCCGCCACACGTGGTCGGGGCAGGTAGTCTCGGAGAGGTTGATGTCATCCAGGGAGAGACCACCTGTGGAGGGGGCGTCACCCTTGATGCCCTCGAACACCACCCGGAACTTCTTGGCCACGTTCAGGCTCACGTGGTGCAGTTGCCATAGATCTTGAGGTGGTGCTGCGAGAAAGGGGAAACCATTAAGTTTATAAATACAGTACAGAGCATATTGTTGTGTAGAATTTACAGTATATTATATGTTATATACATTATACAGGTTAAGAAAAACCAATATGATGGGTCTAAACTAATAACAGATTAATGATTTGAATGTCAATAGGTTGATGTTAGAGATGTTAGCTATGTTAGATACAGTATGTTAGAGATGTTACCAAATATGGGCTGAATAACACGCAGGGTCCCGTTGGGGTGGGCTTCGTCGTACTCTCGGACAAGGATCACCAGCTGATCGTTGGCGCCACCACCGTTGTAGAGGAAGAACTGCAGGCACTGGTAGCCTCTCTTGGGGTAGAGCAGTCTGCTCTCCAGCCTGGCTGTGTCTGCTGGTCTGCCTGTCGCAGTGCTAAAGTGCATGAAGTAGCCTGAGCCTGTGGACAATGGACATCAGTAAACATTTTCCTTTGGATTATTAAGTAGGGCCAGCCTATAACTTGAGCCTATAACTATGGCTCAGAATTTTCCTGACTAGTTAAAGTAGTCAGGGAAAACTCTAGGTCTTATTTGTAACTGCAGTGTTTATAACACAAAAATTTACTCTGCAGGACCTTTGATCACCCTTTGGACTGTAAGATAAGAATAGAGCTGATAGTGATCTGCCCTGTCAGGTCCTGAGGATGGAAGGTTGAAAGTGTTGTTTTGTGGTTGGTGTGTACTGAGGGTGTGCTCACCAGTGCATTTGCCCATGTTGGAGTAGTCCGTGTTGGGCCCGCCGGGCACCTGGATCACCCTGGTCCATTCTGCCTGGTCCCCCGGCCCTTGGATCATACCACAGATGTTCTCCCTCTCAAAGTCACAGGTGTCCAGGAAAGTGGAGGAGCGTGCTGGATCAAAGGACACATACAGTTGAAGTCGGAAGGTTACATACACTTAGGTTGGAGTCATTAAAACTCGTTTTTCAACCACCCCACACATTTCTTGTTAACCAAGCTATAGTTTGGGCAAGTCGTTTAGGACATCTACTTTGTGCATGACACAAGTCATTTTTCCAACAATTGTTTACTGACAGATTATTTCACGTATAATTCACTGTATCACAATTCTAGTGGGTCAGAAGTTTACATACACTAAGTTGACTGTGCCTTTAAACAGCTTGGAAAATTCCAGAAAATGATGTCATGGCTTTAGATGCTTCTGATAGGCTAATTGACATCATTTGAGTCAATTGGACGTGTACCTGTGGATGTATTTCAAGGCCTACCTTCAAACTCAGTGCCTCTTTGCTTGACATCATGGGATAATCAAAAGAAATCAGCCAAGACCTCAGAAAAAAAATGGTAGACCTCCACAAGTCTGGTTCATCCTTGGGAGCAATTTCCACAAGTACGCAAGTATAAACACCATGGGACCACGCAGCCGTCATACCGCTCAGGAAGGAGACGCATTCTGTCTCCTAGAGGTGAATGTACTTTGGTGCGAAAAGTGCAAATCAATCCCAGAACAACAGCAAAGGACCTTGTGAAAATGCTGGAGGAAACAGGTACAAAAGTATGTATATACACAGTTAAACAAGTCCTATATCGACATAACCTGAAAGGTCGCTCAGCAAGGAAGAAGCCACTGCTCCAAAACCACCATAAAAAAGCCAGACTACGGTTTGCAACTGCACATGGGGACAAAGATCATACTTTTTGGAGAAATGTCCTCTGGTCTGATGAAACAAAAATAGAACTGTTTGGCCATAACGACCATTGTTATGTTTGCAAGCCGAAGAACACCATCCCAACTGTGAAGCACGGGGGTGGCAGCATCATGCTGTGGGGGTGCTTTGCTGCAGGAGGGACTGGTGCACTTCACAAAATAGATGGCATCATGAGGAAGGAAAAGTATGTGGACATATTGAAGCAACATCTCAAGACATCAGTCAGGAAGTTAAAGCTTGGTCGCAAATGGGTCTTCCAAATGGACAATGACCCCAAGCGTACTTCCAAAGTTGTGGCAAAATGGCTTAAGGACAACAAAGTCAAGGTATTGGAGTGGCCATCACAAAGCCCTGACCTCAAACCTATAGAACATTTGTGGGCATAACTGAAAAAGCATGTGCGAGCAAGGAGGCCTACAAACCTGACTATGTTACTCCAGCTCTGTCAGGAGGAATGTGCCAAAATTCACTCAACTTATTGTGGGAAGCTTGTGGAAGGCTACCCGAAACGTTTGACCCAAGTTAAACAATTTAAAGGCAATGCTACCAAATACTAATTGAGTGTATGTAAACTTCTGACCCACTGGGAATGTGATGAAAGAAATAAAAGCTTAAATAAATCATTCTCTCTACTATTATTCTGACATTTCACATTCTTAAAATAAAGTGGAAATCCTAACTGACCTAAGACATTGAATTTCTACTAGGATTAAATGTCCTGAATTGTGAAAAACTGAGTTTAAATGTATTTGGCTAAGGTGTATTTAAACATCCGACTTCAACTGTACATACAATCGCCATCAACTAAACAGAAATCACAGGAAGACTTTGACCTGCTGTAAACCTTTTTATCTAGGTTTACCATGTACCCATGCAGTTAGGACATCCATTCTCTCAAACCACGTTTTATAATCCACTAGGGTTCTCAATCAAATACACACTGCAGAAAGATCCTGCTGTTCCTCTTTTTCCAAAAGACCTCCTTTCATTAAAATCAACAGGAGTTTTGCTTTGAACATATCACCTAACTAATCACTGTACTTCAAATATGCGTTTTATAACACAAATGTGACATTCCAGCAAAGGATGTCTCCTGCACTGTGGGTTTGACTGAATTACAGCCTCCATCAAATAGATCGGTAGATCAGCAGGTCAATGTGAGTATGTCCTACTTACTTGGTAGATAAGTCAGTCTGCTCAGACAGTCATTTTGATCACTTACTGAGCAGACTGATGCTCTTGAACATGGCCTGTGTCTTACTGCAGTTGTACAGCCTAATGTGCCTATGTCTTACTACAGTTGCAGAACCTTAAGTGACTGAATCTTACTGCAGTTGTAGAGGCCTAAAGTGACTGAGCCTTACTGCAGTTGTAAAGGCCTAAAGTGACTGAGTCTTACTGCAGTTGTAGAGGCCTAAGGTGACTGAGTCTTACTGCAGTTGTACAGGCGCCGGAGCTTGAGCAGGTCATTATCACTGAACTCCATGCGCTGGCCGATGACATCGGCGAAGGCGGGGATCTTGGTGACGATTGTGGGCTCGGTACCGTTCCTGAACGCAGTCTTACTGTAGTGCATCATGGAACCGTAGTCGTAGGGGACACCCAGAGAACTGGACGTGGTGTCATTGTACGTGTTGAAGTTGTGTTCCTTACCTGGGGATGGAGGGAGGGAGGGGGGGGGGAGTGTGAGGGAGAGAGAGAGAGAGAGTTCAACCGGGTTGGAGGGTTTAATTCCATTTCAAATCAGCCAGTTTACTCACTTCTTCAAATCTAGCCTTGGATTTTCAATTAGTCTCCTGAATTGACAGAGTTGACATGTACTGTAATAAGCCTTCAACCCCTAAAGGTCAGCGAGACAAAGAATGTCTCCGATGGCAGATCTGTAGGGTTAGGGCTTCATGTGGATGACAAGATGCTGACTGGAATCTTATTAATCATGTCGCTGCTCTTTGACCTTCAATTACATGAAATGAATGACTTGATATTAATGACTTGATAGATCATGCCCTAATCTCAAATTTCACTTTAAGTTTCCGTTGATGCTTACATGGTGCCCTTTGCCTGTTTGTCTGAGAGGATTAAGCAGGCGATCAGTGCAATAAGACATTTGTTTGTCCTGATCACATAGCTTATAGCTCTTGGGAAAGGTAAAGATTAATGAACTGTGTGTTGAGTGTGAAACAACTAGTGTACACTGTGGGTGGGCCTGTTTGGTCAGGCTAGCACTAATCTGACTTTTGGTTGTCATGTTGACATATTGTAATATGCTTGTGGTAAGAAAACAGATTACTGTTTGTCCAGACAATTAGAGGATATGTTGTCCCGAGAATTCCAATCACCATGTTTCTGATGACAAATACACATGCAGGCAGAAACAACCCACTGGGAACAGACGTCAGCTCAACGTCTAGTTTTGATTCACATTTGGTAGAATTTTCAACTAACATGAAATCAACAAAAAATGTCACCATGTCATTGGATTTAGGTTAAAAGTTTTCCACGTTGATTCAACATCATGACGTGGAAACAATGTTGATTTAACCAGTTTTTACCCAGTGGGAAAGGCCTAGATTCAATCAGATCAAGGGTTAAACGGCGATAGCCAACACCCGCATAGCTAGTGTAACTGCGTTAGAGCTGTCAAATTAGAGCTGCTGCTCGTTTGGTTATTGTCATGAAGCCACACCCGTCCCACTCGCGTTAGAAGTTCAGAACTAGAAAGTGTAGGCTATATAGAAATAATGACACTCAAATCGAAAAACGTTTAACTAAACAATCAAGGTGTAGATTACATCTCACATTACAGTCGAACTTGTAATCAAGGCTGCATGGTTCTCTTAATGCGACTCTGTGCAGCCAATGGCAATGTCAGCTTTAGGTGTAATGCCATGAGCTGCTTGTGTATTTGACAGCTCTCACCTGGTACAACCCTAACCCTAACCCAAACCCAAACCTTAGCCATAACCCTAACCCCTACATTTTGGGGTCAGAGTGTTAGGGGTAAGCATTAAGGTTAGGGTTACCATACGTTTAGAGGTTCAGTACCCTCAGAGATTCGGTCCCACATGATGGTGACGTAGTCATCGCGGTCCGACCGTGACTGCTCATGCCAGAAACCCAGTGCATGGAGGAATTCGTGTTCGATGGTCGCAATGCGGTCACAGTTGGTCCCGATGGACAACCTCTGTTTCCCCACATGTCGGTTACCCACAGAGGAGAAACAACTGAAAGAGAGACAACCAGAAAACCTTGTTGAGCATTAATACAATACAAACTCAAAGGCTATACTATAGCCTAACTGTTTTTCCCCAAGGGCACATCCTTCCAACATAAAAAAAGATATGCACTACCAGTCAAAAGTTTGGACACACCTACTCATTCAAGGGTTTTTCTTTATTTAAAAAATGTTTTACATTGTAGAATATAGCGAAGACATCAAAACTATTAAATAACACTTATGGAATCATGTAGTAACCAAAAAAGTGTTAAACAAATGAAAATATATTTTATATTTGAGATTCTTCAAATAGCCACCCTTTGCCTTTATGACAGCGTTGCACACTCTTGGCATTCTCTCAACCAGTTTCATGAGGTAGTCACCTGGAATGCATTTCAATTAACAGGTGTGTCTTGTTAATTTGTGGAATGTATTTCTTTCTTAATGCATTTGCGCCAATCAGTTGTTTTGTGACAAGGTAGGGGGGTATACAGAAGATAGCCCTATTTGGTAAAAGACCAAGTCCATATTATGGCAAGAACAGCTCAAATAAGCAAAGAGAAATGCTTCTACATTATGTTTTTTCAAGATACTGAACATAGTATCATGAAAAAACATAATGTAGAAGCATTACAAATATAAATAAAAACATCAAAAACAGTGCTGTCCATAACAGCTTATATTACCCGCTCCCTTTGAAAATGGAAATGTAGTTCTGCTCTCCCTCCCAAGGTTTGAAGTCAATACAGGTCTTCAGCCGGTACTGTTCAAAGGCCTTCAGGATAACACCTTTTGCATTGATCTCTGTGGTGTGAATAGAAGATATCTCTTGTAACGATGAAATTACACATTCAATTGAAGGCTACACCACATGGACCATTTTGAGCAATGGACCATAAATAGTATAATTGCATAAATTCATGTATTGCCCCTCTTAAATGGTCAACCTTTAGAACCAAAAACATGTCTCAGAAAGTTAATATGTGTATTATACTGAACAAAAATATAAATGCAACATCCAACAATTTGAAGATTTGATTGAGTTACAGTTCATATAAGGAAATCAGTCAATTGAAAAAATGTATTAGGCACTAATCTATCGATTTCACATGACTGGGAAGACCGATATGCATCTGTTGCTCACAGATACCTTAAAAAAGGTAGGGGCGTGGATCAGAAAACCAGTCAGTATCTGGTGCTTGTGACCACCGGGCCTCACGAGTGGCGCAGTGGTCTAAGGCACTAGAGATCCTGGTTCGAATCCAGGCTCTGTCGTAGCTGGCCGCGACCGGGAGACCCATGTGGCGGCGCACAATTGGCCCAGCGTCGTCCAGGGTAGGGAAGGGAATGGCCGGCAGGGATGTAGCTCAGTTGGTAGAGCATGGCGTTTGCAACGCCAGGGTTGTGGGTTCGATTCCCACGGGGGGTATGAAAAATAATAATAATAATGTATGCACTAACTGTAAGTCGCTCTGGATAAGAGCGTCTGCTAAATGACTAAAATGTAAAATTTACCTCATGCAGTGCAACACATCTCCTTCGCATAGAGTTGATTGTGGAATGATGTCCCACTCCTCTTCAATGGCTGTGCGAAGTTGTAGTATACATCGATCCAGAGCATCCCAAACATGCTCAATGGGTGACATGTCTGGTGAGTATGCAGGCCATGGAAGAACTGGGACATTTTCAGCTTCCAGGAATTGTGTACAGATCCTTGCGACATGGGGCTGTGCGTTATCATGCTGAAACATGAGGTGATGGCAGCAGATGAATGGCACCACAATGGCCCCTCAGGATCTCATCATGGTATCTCTGTGCATTCAAATTGCCATTGATAAAATGCAATTGTGTTCGTTGTCTGTAGCTTATGCCTGCCTATATCATAACCCCACCGCCCCCATGGGGCACTCTGTTCACAACATTGACATCAGCAAACTGCTCGCCCACACAACGCCATACAAGTGGTCTGTGGTTGTGAGGCCGGTTGGACGTACTGCCAAATTCTCTAAAACGACTTTGGAGGCGGCTTATGGTAGAGAAATAAAAATTACATTATCTGGCAACAGCTCTGGTGGACATTCCTGCAGTCAGCATGCCAATTGCACGCTCCCTCAAAACTTGAGTAATTTGTGGCACTGTCATGTAGGACAAAACTGCACATTTTAGAGTGGCCCTTTGTTGTCCCCTGCACAAGGTGCACCTGTGTAATGATCAGGCTGTTTAATCAACTTCTTGATATGCCACACCTGTCAGGTGGATGGATTATCTTGGCAAAGGAGAAATGCTCACTAACAGGGATGTAAACAAATTTGTGCACAACATTTGAGAGAAAAAAACTTTTTGTGCATATGGAACATTTCTGGGATCTTTTATTTCAGCTCATGAAAGAGATTTGTCCTGAAGCCACTTCTGCGTTGTCTTGGCTGTGTGCTTAGGGTTGTTGTCCTGTTGGAAGGTGTACCTTTGCCCCAGTCTGAGGTCCTGAGCGCTCTGGAGCAGGTTTTCATCAAGGATCTCTCTGTACTTTGCTCCGTTCATCTTTCCCTCGATCCTGACTAATCTCCCAGTCCCTGCTGCTGAAAAACATCCCCACAGCATGATGCTCCCACCATGCCGTAGAGTTCAATCTTGGTTTCATCAGACCAGACAATCTTGTTTCTCATGATCTGAGAGTCCTTTAGGTGCCTTTTGGCAAACCAAGCGGGCTGTCATGTGCCTTTTATTGAGGAGAGGCTTCCGTCTGGCCACTCTACCATAAAGGCCTGATTGGTGGAGTGCTGCAGAGATGGTTGTCCTTTTGGAAGGTTCTCCCATCTCCACAGAGGAACTCTGGAGCACTGTCAGAGTCACCTCCCTGACCAAGGCCCTTCTTCCCGATTGCTCAGTTTGGCCGGGCGGCCAGCTCTAGGAAGAGTCTTGATGGTTCCAAACTTCTTCCATTTAAGAATGATGGAGGCCACTGTGTTCTTGGGGACTTCAATGCTGCTGACATTTTTTGGTACCCTTCCCCAGATCTGTGCCTCGACACAATCCTGTCTCTGAGCTCTTTGGACAATTCCTTGGACCTCATGGCTTAGTTTTTTCTCTGACTTGCACCGTCAACTGTGGGACCTTATATAGACAGGTGTGTGCCTATATACATTTGCCAAAAAATCTAAAAAAGGGTTTTTGCTTCGTAATTATGGAGTATTGTGTGTAGATTGATGAGGGAAAAAAGTAATTTAATAAATTTACGAATAAGGCTGTAACGTAACAAAATGTGGAAAAAGTCTATATGGTCTTACCCAAGTCATCCTCAAAGTAGTAGGGAACAGTCTTTGGCCATCTGTATTGATCCCCTATTATAGAATTCCGGGCTTGTTTCTGAGTCCGCCATTGATTACATTTTACAAAAAAATTGAGAATAAATCATTATTAGTTCTGTTAAGCCTGGGCAGTGAGTTCATGTCATAAAAATATAATTATTCAAGCCCATGAGTGTGCAGTTAAATTGCTGTGGTCTGCAATCAATGGAACTTCCCCATTCTCATCATTCTATTTCTATGCTTGATATAACATGTAATTGTTCAAGTGAACACCAGCAGACCTACTTATTAACTCACCTCATCAAGCTCAATATCCCCCTCCACCAGGTTTAACCCAGCCTCTGTAAGGACCAAGCACACACACACAGCACTTTGCTATGAAACTCCCATTGATTTATTAGAAACGAGATTAAATGTGGCCATACATAAGTAAAATCCTAACTGACAAACCTTCATTGATATCAAAGATGTCCAGGTCCCTTCCACCATCCACATCGTATTCTGTAGAATAAATGTAAAGGGCATACAGTAAATGAGAGCTTTGAATGGGTGACATTCAATTTGAAATATTGAAAAAAAAATAAGAAACTCCACTTGCCTAAAACTCTTGGTGTAGGCTGACAAGCAACAGAGGGAAAATGTATCATTGTTTAGAGAAAGTGAGTGACCATTGTAACAATGCAAATTAGGCAAGCATTATACTAATATTAAATGAATATGCAAATTAGGTCAACATAAATCATATTACAATATCTCAATAACAAAGCAAACCATTCAATACCAGTACTAAAACTACATTTTCTTTGAGACATTTATTCAATTTTCACCAATATATAAATAAACAAATAAATGCAACATAACCTTACCAGAGATAAGACATTTTCACATAAGATCCATGAAATATGGAGGATGAAAAAGTATGTAGTTCTCCTCCCCATGTTTACTCCCTAGTCAAAGTGTCCCTTAGTATGGAACACTAAGAATGAGTAGCCTTGGCCTCTCAGACAGACTTGTAAAAGGTGCTAAGCTAGTCCAATGGACCAGATAAAAGTACATGTGATTGCAAGATCAATAATTGACAGAGCTGTAAACAATGTGTCATAATTCACCTGCAGTCGACTCAGTCGACTTGTCCACTCACCTCTTCACTCACCTCTTCACTCACCCCTCTTCACACACCTCTTCACACACCTCTTCACATACCTCTTCACATACACTCACACACACACCGCTACATACACACATGTACAGTCAGGTCCAGAATTATTTGCACCCTTGATAAAGATGATAAAAAATACTGTATAAAATACATAATACAAATACTGAGCTATATTGTACGCTCAAATGTAAATAAAAATGGTATACTATTACATATATATTGCTGAGATAAAAACATTGTTTAACAAGTAATTTTTTCTCAAAAGATAGGGGTCAAAATTATTGCCACGCCTGTTTTCAATACCTCACCTTGCAAGGATAATGGCACTGAGCTTTTTTCTAAAATGTTTTATTAGATTGGAGAACACATTGGGAGGGATCTTAGATCATTCCTCCATACAGAATCTTTCCAGATCCTTGATATTCTTTGTCTGCGCTTATGGTTCTCTTCAATTCAAACCACAGATTTTCAATGGGGTTTAAGTCCAGAGACTGAGATGGCCATTGCAAAATGTTGATTTTGTAGTCAATTAACAATTTCTTGGTGGATTTTGATGTATGTTTGGGGTTATTGTCTCGCTGGAAGATCCATTTTGGGGGCCAATTTTTTGCGGGGCCCTTTTTTTAAAAAAGTCCTGGGAACGTTATGATGGGGATTAAGAACCTGAAAAATGCCCCTTATTAAAGACCCCTTCCTTTTAAGTAGATTAACCTCACCCTTCCCTTTTTTTGAAAAAAAAAAAAAAGGAAAACCCTTATTCCCCAAAACTTTTGTAAAACCCTCAGGGTTTTCCCCGGGTGGGTATGAAAAAAATTTACCCCCTTCTTTTAAATTTTTTTTTTAATTAAAAGGTTACAAAAAAAAAAGTATTTTTTTTTTAAACTTCTTAAAACCACCCTTGATTTTTTTTCAGTTTTTTTTTGAGTGCAGGTTTTAAAAGGGAAAAAGTGGTTTTGCCATCCTTTGATGTTTATGAAAACCCTTATTATAACTAGGTTTTCGTAACTTTTGAAAAAAAAAAAAAACATTTTAAAATATTTTCCCCAATGTCGCAAAAGGGGTTGGGGGGAAAATTTCCTAAAATGTAATTTCATAAATATTCTAATAAAGTGTGTACATAAAACGTATATTAAACATGTCTGTAAAACCACAATGAGGACTGTAGTGTTTAAACAGTTTATGACTTTGCTGATGTTTTGCAAATGGTGTGTTAGAGGAAGTCGTTATGTGGCATCCTGGGATTGGTTTATGGGAAAAACACCCATATTATGTTACATAGGGCATAGGATAAATACCATGGTTGAAACAAACAAAGGACGGGGAGGAACAACATATTAGAGATTGGGTCAGTTTGTTCTCCAGATGTCTGCAGGAGTCTGTAAATTGGCGCTGGAAATCCTTTGGTATAATAAACTATTATAATCAAGGGACAGTGTCAGCGGGATTTTCTTGTGTCCTCACAGCATAATTAGCATTGTTATTTAGATACCCACAGAATGGCGACGAGGAACTTTGGGATGTGTTGGTCTCTCCAGCGTTCCATTCAGGAGCTACGAATTGGGATTTTTGGCTTGAATAAAATTCAAAAAGAATACAATGAAGGAATAAGGCCAGGAACTAAGGAAAAATGTATACTAATTAGGACGTCGTTGATCTATGGAAATCCCTCAAACGAGGCGATCATTAGGATGGGCCGAAAATCCTGAAAACTCACTAGGTTGATTTTTGAGGTCAGTTCCGGGAACTGGTGTTTGTGGTAGATACATTCGTTTGCAAGTTACCCCTCGACTTATAGTTGACGAGGTATATGTTCGATGTAACCTCTCATTTGAATATCTGCAAACTCGAAGTAGCAGAAATTTAGGAACAATGAAAAATAAGGAATGACGGTAGCATGCTTTAGAGGACCGTAGGAATGGATGCATTCCTCTTGAATTGTGTGTGTGTGGGGGAGAAAAATAATAATAAAATAAAGACGTCTCTGTTGTGTTTAAACTGTGTGTCGACTCATGTTAGGATAAGATTTATGTTAGAGATATATACATATATATGTTTTGGTTGAGAACAGGGGTTTTTGTTTTTTGTAAGGAAATATGTAAGTTAAGGTTAAAATCTTATGAGTCTCCGTTGGTGAGAACGTTAATAATTGTTAACTATACAGTGGGGAAAAAAGTATTTAGTCAGCCACCAATTGTGCAAGTTCTCCCACTTAAAAATACGAGAGAGGCCTGTAACTGTCATCATAGATACACGTCAACTATGACAGACAAATTGAGAAAAAAAATCCAGAAAATCACATTGTAGGATCTTTTATGAATTTATTTGCAAATTATGGTGGAAAATAAGTATTTGGTCACCTACAAACAAGCAAGATTTCTGGCTCTCACAGACCTGTAACTTCTTCTTTAAGAGGCTCCTCTGTCCTCCACTCGTTACCTGAATTAATGGCACCTGTTTGAACTTGTTATCAGTATAAAAGACACCTGTCCACAACCTCAAACAGTCACACTCTAAATTCCACTATGGCCAAGACCAAAGAGCTGTCAAAGGACACCAGAAACAAAATTGTAGACCTGCACCAGGCTGGGAAGACTGAATCTGCAATAGGTAAGCAGCTTGGTTTGAAGAAATCAACTGTGGGAGCAATTATTAGGAAATGGAAGACATACAAGACCACTGATAATCTCCCTCGATCTGGGGCTCCACGCAAGATCTCACCCCGTGGGGTCAAAATGATCACAAGAACGGTGAGCAAAAATCCCAGAACCACACGGGGGGACCTAGTGAATGACCTGCAGAGAGCTGGGACCAAAGTAACAAAGCCTACCATCAGTAACACACTACGCCGCCAGGGACTCAAATCCTGCAGTGCCAGACGTGTCCCCCTGCTTAAGCCAGTACATGTCCAGGCCCGTCTGAAGTTTGCTAGAGTGCATTTGGATGATCCAGAAGAGGATTGGGAGAATGTCATATGGTCAGATGAAACCAAAATAGAACTTTTTGGTAAAAACTCAACTCGTCGTGTTTGGAGGACAAAGAATGCTGAGTTGCATCCAAAGAACACCATACCTACTGTGAAGCATGGGGGTGGAAACATCATGCTTTGGGGCTGTTTTTCTGCAAAGGGACCAGGACGACTGCATTGAAGATGAAACGTGGCTGGGTCTTTCAGCATGACAATGATCCCAAACACACCGCCCTGGCAACGAAGGAGTGGCTTCATAAGAAGCATTTCAAGGTCCTGGAGTGGCCTAGCCAGTCTCCAGATCTCAACCCCATAGAAAATCTTTGGAGGGAGTTGAAAGTCCGTGTTGCCCAGCGACAGCCCCAAAACATCACTGCTCTAGAGGAGATCTGCATGGAGGAATGGGCCAAAATACCAGCAACAGTGTGTGAAAACCTTGTGAAGACTTACAGAAAACGTTTGACCTGTGTCATTACCAACAAAGGGTATATAAAGTATGGAGAAACTTTTGTTATTGACCAAATACTTATTTTCCACCATAATTTGCAAATAAATTCATTAAAAATCCTACAATGTGATTTTCTGGATTTTTTTTCTTATTTTGTCTGTCATAGTTGACATGTACCTATGATGAAAATTACAGGCCTCTGACTAAATACTTTTTTTCCCCACTGAATATGAGCCCCCTGGAAGGACGTTAAGGTTAAAATCTTATGAGTCTCTATAAAAATAGAATATTTAATAACTGTTAAAAGAGTATGATTCTACAGGGAGGAGTTTCAAGAGTGTATAGAGATGTTTTGTAATGGATAAGAAAATAACTATAAATCTGCAGATTAGGATAAGTGAAGTTAAGAAACTTAAAAGTAGGATTTGTGTTCTATGTTTTGTGTTGGTTTGTGAGTTATGTTAAGTGTTACTGTTTGTCTGTGTTGGGGAAATAACGGAGGGACAGCTGGTCTGTCTACTTTCTGTTGTTTAGCTTGGAGAGAGCTGCTTGGGAGCTCTTCTCACTCTGAAATCGCACTGGTGAATGAACTGCGCATGTGTGGGATTTTATGAGTTTAGAGTTACGTAGAGCAAATATGCCACTCCCCTGCCTGCACTGAGCTGCTGTGACATGCAGACAGAGAAGGAGGGGGAGACTTACACACAAATAAAGTATTCTGTTTGTTAAATCGGCTGTTGCTTAACGATGAAACTATTTGATTGAGATCTATTGAATTGATTAATGAGAGATATGTTGACGGATTAAAAATAAATAAAATAAAATGTTATTGAGCTATTTATAATTGTAATGAATACTCGGACAGAGTGGTAAGATCCAATCGCAGAATAGCGATGCTTTATTAGAGTACAGACAAGGGAATAGCTTAATCGTGGTCGGGCGGGCTGTGGTCAAAACCGGGCCAGGCATAGACAGGCAGAGGTACCAATGGAGCGGGCTTAGTCGTAGTCGAGGGCACAGGCACAGGATCAGAGGACGGTAATCACTGAGGTAGACAAGTAGAGGATTAAGCAATTCGGGGAGTCAAACAACAAAGCACAGGTCGGATACACGGGTAATCAAAAACAACAAACTCTCTCTCTCTCTCGGAACAAAATGCTTAGCAAGTCACAATGGAACAATACCTCGCGCCGACTGAGCTTCTGAGCACACCTTAAATCCTACACTAATTACTGACAGGTGTGCTCAGAACTCAGGTGAACCAGATCGAGTCTGATGACTCCCCCTCTCTGTAGATCGGGGAAGTGTCAGACTCTGTCTAGACCCTGCCAACCCCCGATCCCTTACAGTATCCCCCTCCCCAGGGCCGGCTCCTGACGGCCTTCTACCTCTACCGGGTGGTCTTCCTCTGGGTCGGGGTCTTGGATGATCTGG